AAACGATCCGGTAACGATAGAAAGAACCGTGAAATATTTCGAGCCTTTCTTGAAGGAACTGCCGAAAGTCGACGAATATCGCAATCAGTTTGTCATTTGGCTCAGCACACTTATCGACGACCAATTCAACATGACCATCCGAGACCGTTACGCCGCTATGGGGTTCGTGTACAACATAGCGACCGACAAAAGCAACGTGGTACAACGATAATGTAAGTACCATTGACCTGTTAATCGAGTGGTCAAGAGCAAAAGTGGCGTATGTCACGTTTTCACACAATCTGAAGTAGCACAACCAGACGATAATAATTTTATCTTCAATCAATAGACGCCTGCGAAGTGGTTTGAGTCTTGGTTTGCTTGTTTCCGCCGTCCTTGAATTAACAGGTCTATGGTATGTATTATAAGTCCGTGCTTGTCAATTCGCCATTCCGACATTTATAAATATAATTAATTTAATCTGAAGTCCAATTAATTTAGTAAAATATCGAAAATGTGCTGCCTTTTAACATGTTTTATACATTATTTAATATTATATGATGTACCGCTTTGCGACAATGCCTCAACTCTCTTCATTTTGTATAACACCTCAATGCACAATTTGTATTTAGCGTGTGATATGTGTCTGTCAATATTGTTATTTAGTTTTCCGAGAAATATCTCAAAAGCTTTTGGGCTCTTTGAAATTCTTCGACAACGTTAGTGTCTCATTATATTACATTCACTTGGATTATATTCTATTCATTTTGGCTTACGCGAAATAAATTGTACATACTCGTTGAAGCCTTATAAATATATTACTAAATATATATAAATATATATTTATTCACTTGCATATACAATTGTATACATACAATTTTAAAATGTAATGCTCGTTAAAACCTTAAGCATTATCTATTGAAGCATATTTTTAATACTACTCATACAATATTACATACTAGTTATTAGTATAGTTCGTTGTTTGTAAGCCAAATGGATCTTATAAAACAAATAATTTAGTAATCGTAAATATAGAATAGAGTAGAATCAAAACTCTAAACCAATGAGATGTTAATTGTTAGCACCTAACCTGCTTAAAAAAAAAAAGCCTGTACAGTGGGGTCGGGGCATATTGGGGACGGAGAGGTCACAAGTCTACAGATTTTATTATAACTGAAAGTGATAAAATCACTTTTAAATAAACGCTTCGATGCGAATCTGTGGATAGTATGTTCAAACTAGTTATAGTTATGTAATATTTCAATCCTCGAAAGTTTCAACACATTCATAGTTATAGTGGTTTAGAAGATATCATGGGACCAGCAATAATGTACTTAAAATGTAATATTTAGTCTTGTGCAGGGTGGATACGATAAGGGTTGATCGTCTGTCTATAAAAATGTACTGTCATAGTTACCCATATATCGTAATAAACAATATAATGAAAATATTTTCATTACCTGTTGACTGTTGATTCACACACACATAGCAACCAAGAAACTGACTACAGCCAAAGTGTAAATTTACCCTATTTTTGGGGGTTTTCCTTAATAAAAAAAATTTGACTACAGATTTTTGAGATAATTGTATATGTTATAGTTTCATTTTAGATCTACCTTTGGTCTAATTTTCAGATCTAAATCTCTAAAACTTTGCTTGAAAAAGTGAAATAAAGAAAAAATTCTATCCCTTCTAAGGGAAAGGGTTTATGATATTTTTTTGGTTTGTTAATGTTTATCGATAGTACTATGTTTGAAGAACAATTCATATAAATTTGGAACATTTTTGACTATTTTTAAAAAAGTTATAAAGCATCGTAATTTTGAGTTGAAAAGTTTGTACATTTTTTAGGAGTTTTTCTCGATTTTGATGGGGAAGGGGTGACTTTTTTCATTTTTGGCCTGTTAAAGTACCTTCTAGGTATGATTTCTGATCTATAGAGTTGCTACACAAAAAAATCGGTTCAGAGGTTTACGAGATATCGTGGGTCCAGACACAAAAATAAAAACACATCATTGTAAAAACAATAACTTCTCAGCTACGCATCGAAGCTAAAAATTAAAATACTCAAGGGCGGAATCGGTGTAGCAACCGTTTGTTAACTGATCAATACATTATTAATACTAAATTACAAAGACGATTGCTAGTGAATCATGCGTCAAAAACCGCCAGATATTGTCCGTTGAAACGTTGCCGTTGTGTCTTGAAAACAGATTAACATTCAAGAACATTTATATATTCACGAATACCGTTGAAAAGTACGAATGTGCGTTAAATAAAATACATCAAAAGTAAGTCCCTCGCAAACATCGTTTAACGAGTAAAATGACAAAGATGATACGACGAGACTCTCGAAGGAATTGCAACGCTGTGCATTGTCCAGATTTCCACTTGAAAAATTGTTAACTAAAACGTACTCAGGTAATACCGTGTTTAATACAATATAATTCATGTCAAAGTATGGGAAACTTTACACTTTATATTGTCGCATTATATATGTGTAGAACAAAGTGTGCGTTAATATTATGTCATGCAATTCATATTATTTACCTTAGGCGTCCACTTCAACAGTGAGCTCTGGCCATAGCTTATACAAGGCAACATTCACTGAATATTTTAGTCTAAGAACTTCGTTTTGTCGTACAAAAGCTATTCATGGCATGACGAAACAATTTTTTAATAATTTGCAACAATTTTAATAATTATTAATAACAATACTATAATTTAACATTATTTCGAAAATAAATCAACAGCAATGGACAAATAGTAATTTTATCAATAACAATTATTGACCCTGGCAGTTTTAATTAATTTCCTATGGGCACTTTATTCTTTAGACTATAAGAATGAAAAAAATGTATAGCCCACATAGTGATAAAAGTGCTTGCGTTCATGTCTTTACATATGTATGTTACAGCCATCGCAAAATGTATTAATCCAAAAAGAAAAAACCAAGCTAGAAAAACTATAAGAAACTAAAGCAGTATTAATTATTAATTAATTGTTTTAGTATCTACGTTAAAAAAAACTCTGGTTTCTGCATCGATGTATGATTTACTCACTTTTCCTATACCTAATAAAATGGTTAACTTCGCGTGTTCCTTTTTCATATCAACTGGTTCGTTAGGTAAAACCGCTTAGGTGTAGAATAGGTTAGCTTACACTGTCATGGCGGTCAGCAGTCGAGTTGTTTTTAAATGCATAAATTCCGTAATCAATGTCGGGCAAATACTCAAGTCAGTATGTGAAGCAACTTTCATCTTACAATCATTTTGTTCCACTCGGTAAAATATTGATTTAACTATACTGTATATACATTATACTGGATATATGTGTGTTCAATCGGTATCAGCTGTAGTTGCATGCGGTTGTTCAAACACGTATACCAATCATGATTCGAAAACGTGACCAAATTAGAGTTTAGGGGGCTCACGCTTACGAATTAAATACAGATAACACAAAATTTAGCAGTTTAGAAACTACATTATACTCCCAAAAACAATTATATTTCAATAAAAAGATTAGTAACGTGGGCATTCAATTATTTTTTTTTAATTACCAACAATATTAAAATATTACTTTAGCAAAAAGTTATTAATATAATTATAATTAATCGAAGTATTCTCTAGTAGTACACAACTAAAATATGTTCGCTTAAATTGATCTATAAATAAGTACAAGAAATCAATTTAAACTGATACTTTGCTTAGTATTTAATTTATATTAATTTTAATCGCATTATTAGTATTCCAATAATTATTTAGCTCCTTTTTATAAAAAAAAAACTTATTTAATCGCTGAAATAACCATTTTTTTTTTTTTGTACAAGCAACAATGCTCTAAATAGAGTTTGCTAACACTTGATTTCAATTCTAGAGCTACGAAATCGTAATTTGGGTATTCATTAGGTAAACTTTAACATTACTCAGATGTTAACATTGTATAGTTTAATGAATTTAATTTTAACTGATAAATCTAGTCAAGGCACATGTCTGATGTCACCAAACCATAAATCATAGACATTTAATATAGCAATCCTATATTTTTGTTTGGAAAATTGGTATTGCTGGAATGTAAACAGAACACTTTTCTTCGTCAATTGACTCATTTTGAGTAATTTCATTTATTTCCCACCGTAAGGTAAGATCGAAGTCCTTAGCCCAAACGACGATTTCTAAATCTTCTACTGTCACTCTTAAATCTCACATGTTCATTATAAGTCTTCCGATTGAAGGACATCAACCGGCCCTGCGTGTGCCTAGCAACTTTATTTTGGCTGCTAGACAATAAGCAGTTGTAGTTAATAGACACTTGAGCATTAACTAATGCATTACCGTGTTTACATGCAGTCGTTCATTGGCAATTACTTAATACGAATCAAATTACTATTGCGACATGCAACTTTTAATGCAGGAGTAAGATTTAATTGTTTCTGAGGAATTTAAATAAACCATTAATTCACGTTAAGAACGAGGCCGTATGCACGTTACTTCCAGATTCACTTAATTCGAATTAGGTTAATGCGCATTATCGATTGCATGTAATTGCGGTAAATAAGTTTTAATGCGAATAAACGACGACATGTAAACGTAGTAGTTATACTATGTAAATGTGGAATTAAAAATTAATTATTTCCATTCCATATTTATAATATTAGGTACGTTGTTAATGCACATTTAGCTTTTGGTTTAATGTGCAGTATTCGACCCGGAGTAAGATTTAATTAAATTGGAGAAATGTAATTACATAATTATTTCACATTAAACCAACGCGTTTTAAAGATGGGTTTATGTACATCGTACTACCGGATAAACTTAGTTAATATTTATCTAGTTCACATTAACGGTACACAATTAAAAACGTTGTTATTTGTTTTTGTTCAAATGTATTCCATTTATTGTACAGAAAGTTAGATTATAATTATTATTGCCGTATATAAGTATAGTATAGCATTATTATCAATAAAGCTAAAAACAGTGCAATAAATATTTATATATTTAATACAAAACAGTAAAATTTTACACAGTAAAATACAATAAATTAAAATCATACATAACTTAGTTAAATAGTTTAAGTGCAAGTATAATATTATAAAGTAATCAAAATAAAAAGCTATACGTGCATTATCCTACTGTATCAGTCAGTAGATTGACGGGTCCATACCACAGTTTTTGGCAACGAAATACAGAGTGAAAACGCAAGAAATGGGGAGGAACTATAAAGAAAACAACAAAGAGAAGAGGTGAATTATTATAGTAATATAAAAGAAAATGTAAATTCTAGTTCGTTTTGATTTAAATTTTGAAAATCATGATTAGATTTAATGAACATCGATGTAAAATACAACTAAAAAACAATACTATTTGTATTCTCTCTTATACAATGGTTATAATGAAATAATATCAATTTTTTTCATTTTTTTCTTTGCATTCCAATAGTTTACAAACGGTCTGAGCGTTATAAAATACACGAGTTCAAATAAAATCAAAATGCTGAAGCCCATGTAAAATCCCATTAATCCGCCGACTGCACCTGAAAAATAATCATATCTTTAATACAATTACAATTTACATACAATTATATCGGTTATTTAACAAGTAATGTCATCGCTTTATACATACCGACAAATTGAGAAAGTGTGTAGATAGTTATTCTCTGATATCCCAAATAGTTGCTACTTTGATAAAAAACTCTTATTTCTGCTCTGTGTGTTTTTTAAGCAAATTAATAATAAGTTATATTACACAATATAATAATTATTTTCAATTAATATTTATTAATTGCTGGGCCATTTAAATTATAGGTTGTCTCTGATCATTTTTTTTTAAATTCTATAACACTAGTTTCTGAACAACTATACCGTTTAATGGAAATATGTTTTTAAAAAATCATACATACCCGTTGAAGATTTTATTATCTTTGCGATTTGGAAAATCGGACGGATCAAAAAAATTAATTGCGTTCGACTTTAGCAAATCAAAAGACAGTACGTTGCAATCTGGTAAACACTCGCAAGGTTCAACTTTATCCTCTTTAGTTATTATGAAACAAATATTTTTATAAATTTATTTTTTAATAAAAAGTAAAATATTTTACTTAATACATCTATTTTTTTATACTTACGCAACACAGATAACCAACATTCTGATTTTGCAGGACCACACACTGGAGTATTCTTTGTTCCTGCAAATATCCAAGTTTAAATAAATATGCACAAATGCTGATTGTAAGTATAACATCGAGAGTACTCGTAGTTTTATTCTAGAGGTGTTACATTTTATTACTGCCAACCCCTAACCAAAAAAAATAATTTTTACAAATACGTGGCAGTATTAATAAGTGTATTATACTAACCAATTAATCAGGTAATCATTGAAAAACATTATTAACAATATTAAAGATGTCTTACTAAACAAATAGTACGGTACGCATCCACAGCGCTTTACAATACTTTCACTGCGACATTCCAAAATGCAATTTTTCTGTGTGTAAAACTTAAAGTATTTTAACCGCTTTTCGTTTTGATAGTAACATTGTCTATCTTTTGGCTTCCACACGGCTAACTCCGCGGTAATCGAGCTCACCACTGGTTTTAGGCCAACGTTTTCTATAATACCGGGTGGAACCACGACCGTCTGGTGGGAGTCGACTGGCCACTCTGCTGGACTGTGAATCAATATCTACAAGAGTCAAAATTGAAAAAATATTGTCCTAAATTTTTACACGATATTATAAACGGCAGAATGTAATTTTGCTACTAGCTACTGACGTAGTACACGTTCAAATTGTTCGAGCACTGTTTATTGGGGTTTTCATTGAAAAGTAGCCTGGAACGGAAATTAAAAGATTCGTGTTCCTCGTTTGTTCTCATGGGCAGTTTAACTTCCAAGGCGTCTTTGGAAAATCCAGTTTCGGGAAACCAATTGCTGGTGTAGTTTTTCCACTGCAGCGCGTTGTCTAACGACCATTCGCTAAACGAATAATAATACATTTCACTTTATTGTCGGAATTTTTATTAGAAGTATAATATTAAACAGATCTAATAATAAAATAATATATTCACTCCACTCCGCGTAGCATCTCTCCGATAGGCATCATGTTAAACGTCAAACAGAGACCGTGCATAGTGAACGTTTCTTGAAACCACATTTTACACGCGTTGTCTTCCTGATGGCCTAACCAATCAACACCTAAAACTAATTCCTCGCACGAAAACGACAAATTCTGAAATCATGTGGTATGCATAATCGTTATAACAAGTAAATAGAAATCTAATATTTATGTAGATATGTAAAATTGAATTAAGCGAAAAGGCGCTCAAGATGTTTTCTATAAAACCGACGCCTTATCTAACCAGTAACTATTCGCGGTAATTACTGATAATTTGTTTTCAAAATTATGCTAAAAACCCACTTTCACTAGCTGTGTAACAAAAGGCCCGTCTAGAAATTCTTCGTACAATTGGTGATTGTTCGAATCCATTTGGAGATCACACATACTGTGTACTGCGTTCCACGTGATTCTGTAAAAGTTAGCCCGCGACATGTTCAAATCGGATTTTATACTGTTCGAGGCAATGCCATTACCGTTCGTCCACCGTGGAATAGTTGACGTATGAAAAATTATAAACCGAACTGCGTATTCTGTCTGAACTACATATAGTAACAGCCGGAAAGGGTATCGTCCAAGTGGACGAAGCTTCGTTCTCTAAAGTAATTATCGCAGAATTTCGAAGAAAATGCATAACCGACAAATAGACTGTCCACCCGGATAGCGCATAAACGCTGATCAGACAAATCGCCCAAACGTACCTGAAACCAACAACGTCCAGCTGTCGTCACGTCTAACAACTGTAAGATTGTTTCGCATAATCGCATAAGTAGACACATCTGATCTTGCGACGATTTCACTTACTTTCCAAAATTACTAAAATAGTCGTCCACGAAATAATGGAATCCGGGTAAACTCGTCATCGAAAAATACGCTTTGAAATCGAATACACTAGTTTTATGCTTATGGTATTTCGACCTAACTGCTTCAGCCGTGTGATCACGTTCTGTTGGCCCATGATATCCCTCGTCCCTGTACGGCGGATATGATCTCTAATAACACAAATGTTTGGCCATTTTTTTATTACTGAATAAACTACAAACGCTGTATAATAATCGACACACACAACTTGTGAAAAACACGCTTTTCGGCCATTCTATACCACAAACGCTGCAAGCAGATTTTTTTTTATTCTACATTGTTCAGGCTTTATTAATAGTGCCATTGGCTTACACCATAATGCCGGGTTGCACAAACGTTCATTAAGGGTTTCATAAATCAATAAACATTTAGTGGTTCCTTCTTAGACATAATTTTTTGTGGGCCGTGATTAGTCCATTTAATTGTAATGAATCGTTAAATATATAATATTTTTGTGCAGCCCGACGCCACATAATGTTAATGAAACGGCTAAAAACTTGTTTGAAAATATAATGTTTCAAACTTTTTTTTTTTTTAACGCAAATAATACAATTGATATTTTTTTAATAATTCTTCATATCTTATAAACTTTAAGACTTATGTGTACAATATATTATAACGGTTAAAATTCAAGTGCTTAATAGTCTGGGTCGAATTGAGCATTGAGCAATACATAGGCACTTGGACACTATACGTGACTAGATTTTCATTCGTATTTAGATTTCCCAACGTTTTTGCCATTAAATTATATTTTCTTTTTATAAAAAAAATATCTTACATACTGAGCTGCACATAACTATAATTTATTTTACATGCTAGATAGATAGATGTATCTATGATAAATATAACATATACAACGTAGTAAGTAAAATATTAGTCAGCCTTTAATTTCGAACATTTTTTTGTACTAAAGGGAATTCGCACCAATGCATGTGTTGATACAACTTATCGAAAGTGTAGTTTGTGACCCTCGTGGGTATTTTGCTTCTCTTCCTTTGGTATAAGAAAACACCGATCGTTAATCATTTCGATTCTTACTATACGCTTTCATTTTTATATCGACAGATTGTGGTATTTCACCGTGTTCAAAATTCTACCACGCTATCGATGAGTAGTCAGCAAGAAAACTACATACCTATTATTTCACATGATCGCCTTACATAAAATACTCAAAATCAACTGTGCTTATTCTATAATTTAAATTTAGAATTATTTATTAAAAACCGCGCATTATAAATAATACAAAATTAACCTGTTTATTTGAATTTTGATCTATTTTATATTTGTCATTATGAAACTAATAGTAATGGACATGGTTATTTTTTATTATCAAATTTTGTAGTAAGTATATACTTAGACATTTTCATGAGAAGGGTAGCATAAAGATTTTTTACCAAAAACATTATATGTAAATGTGACATATATTTTGTAAATACCTGCCGTATAAAATACGGGTTACCTTTTTTTTTTTATTACAGGTAGAAAGGGACTAATTGTACAGTTTTTTCGCAATTTGTCAAACTGTCATTCGTTTAACTAAAGACCCTTATCAAGTAAAATTACCTGTGACAGAATTGAGAGGGTCTACATTTCCCTTCACTCTTCTGCTGCAATGTAGAATACTGTATCCGGTCCATTACTAATAAAATTAACTATTCTGCTAGCGCCATTAAAATGCCATATTATATACTCATTATTTATTGTAATGCGTTTAAATTTTGTCGGGAAAATATTTTTAAATGTATTTAATAATTATTACAGTCGAGGTGTGACAGTTTTCAAAAACCGCATAATTTTAAATACCTACACACTTATCGTGTCTACAAATGCAAAGCGTTTTCAAAAAATAAACCAACGCAATCACCGTATAAAACGGGTCATTTGGGTATAATTGTATTTTTTCGCCGAAAACATTAATCAAATTCATATTATATACCTACTATATTAGTAGTAGAGATTGTGCATTAGTCTCTAAATGATGGATGGCCTCGCGACGTTCTATAAATTTGATAAATGATAGCCATCACGACACCTGATGTTAATACAAATGCCAAATGTAAAATAAGCCTTATACGCCAATTTTTTTATATTTATACTATATAATTAATTCGTCATCAACCAAAATAATTAAAAAATGTAGTTTTTAAATTATTATTATCATTTATATAATAGTGGTTATATCGTTTTATTTATTTACTACCTCCATTGAACCATTTTTTTAAAAAAATGTTTTATATGAAATATTTACAATCTGTATTAATATGTACAATAAGTAAAATGGCTATTTTTATTTTTATTTTTACAAAGCTGGACGGCTTGAGTGAAGGGGGCATCCAGTGACACTACTTCAGGGTATTGACACATTTATAATATTTTAGTTAAAATAGCATAAATTAATTTATTATATCATCTGACTTGTTTGTGGATAAAAAGAATTTGGAAATAGCGTTGGTTTAGAACTTGTTTCCCATTTAGTTATTTACCGTATAAAACAGTTGTGTTGGCAAAATAAAAAAAGCAATTTCGCATCAATCGAACCGTCCACTCGTGATACAACCCGAAAGGCAAATAAAATGATATATTTTTGACGGTTGTATAATTATATTTTCTCGTCAGTTAATCCCCACGGACGAAACAGTTGCAAAGTCAATTATGAATAAACCAACGACCGTCCTCGAGAGTCATAAAGGGATATATTTTGATCATTTCGATTCCTTTTGCTGTCCGATACTCGAATGCGTCATTATATTAAAAGATTGGCTACAGGAAAGTATGTTAAATAAACACAATTTATATATTTTTTTTTTGAAAATTTGTATTGAACATAATATTTGGAATTAATAAAAATCATGAATTATAACCGACTGAACTCCATATAGTGATTTAGAATAATTGGGAAATACCTAAATGTAATCTTATAGCTACGTTGAAATGATTTTATTTAAGTATCGCTATGATAAAAATTATTAACACAGTCGGATAGTTGAGCTTATTATATTGTGTAATATTAGAAGGTAAAATAAAAGTTTTTTTTAAAAAATGGGAATTGGGGCATTATACTTTACTTAACATCGGAATATCAGATGAAAATGAGTGTAAAAAATATATATTTTATACTTGTATAGGTTATAGTGGTACCTATATTATACAACAAACAAAAATTATTTTTAAGATTTAGATTTCTGTTTGTCAGAACTTTTATTCGGAGAATTTGTGGGTTTTGACGAGTTGAGCGATTTAGTTACAAAAAGTTGAAGTTGGAGTTTAAGCTAATACGTAGTATGTTTTATATAATAAAATAGTAATATACAATATCGTATAGGTAAGTCTCGCAAGGTACTTAAATGGAAAGCACTTTTATTATTACTTTTCGTTGCAATCGTTCGAGCTCTCAGAAATGGTTTTTCATATTATTATCGTTGAGAATAAATTATACTCAATGGATACTATCTACATTTTAATTAATTTTTATAAATGTTTATAACTTACCGACTTAAAATAACCCATCAATAGATTTTCAATTTCCATATTGTCTATTTTGTTTGAGTCCATTATTTAAATATTGAGTGTTGACTGTGATAGAAGGTAGTATTTTCACACGAGAACAAAATATTTCAACCAGTCGACCCATTCAACGTGTGTACTAATTTATTTACACCAGACAACAGCAGCTATATGGTTGATTAACAGCTATATAGGTTATACTGTCCTGACAAATATTCATTAAATATTAATAATTCAATTTACGTTCTATATAAAGTATCTGTTTACAGCAAGCATTACACTACAGAGAAATAGGAAAAAATATCCTGTTTGTGGTTTTAAATAAGTACATTTGGTTTTTTATTAGTACATAATCGTTTATTGAATTCACAATAATTATAGGTTTGATAATTATCTGTAAAAACGCAATACAGTATAATAATAAGGCACGCAAACCCTTTCAAATACAAAATTCTCATTGTTCACAATGGGAGTAGTGGGTAAAAATAATTGACAAAAATCGTAAACGCCCACTAGAAACAACAAAAACATTGTGTATTGTTATTCGTTAAAAAAATATAAACTATTGATTATATTTTCATTCAATTGTCTACACTGAGCTATATACAAATGTTATTGGTTTTATTTATTAACAATTAATAACAAAACTAACAGTTAGTTTAAATAAAAAAATTACATTTAAGTTAACAAAATATGTATGCTCGATTTGCGTATTAGAATAGTATTAACAAAAACTGTCATTTTCAACAATTAAAAAATTTAATCTGTGAACAACTAAATAATTATACTTGTGTTTACACACAAAAAAAATAATTAACATTCCTTTGATAAATCATCACTTCAAATTTTGATCATAGTTTTGTTTTATAAACTATTATGTGCTCTTGTGTAGCTTAAAAAAAATGCAATTATGGTGTAGTTTAACATAGCAGGTTTCTTAATACAATAGTTAATAGTAAAAGTAATAAATTAAGTCTTATTAGTCAGCATAATAAAGTAAGCGAACACTGGAATACAAGTGGTCATTAGTATATAAATACTGTTAAAATTATACATTAAAAAAAAATGTATGTTTAAATTAAGTATCAACTTTAAACAAAATGTTTAATTTCAATTTTTTAATAACAATAAAAAAAGAATAGTATTAATACAATTATTGTTATTATTACTTTGGACCACTTGCTATAATTAAAACCTAAATTTAAAAGTAATCAAGTTAGTGAGATTTTATCTCCTTTTTTCTAACAAAATGATTTCTCTTTGACAAATAATATTTTTCAAAATCTTAATTTTGTTTATCTCTTCATTTTGTCCAAAATTGGCAGCACCATATCAAAAGTAGGTCTTTTTCCAGGATCCTCGTTCATACATATCTTTATCAACTTTGTCAAATGAGGTGAAATATCTGACGGAATTGACACTCTCAAGCCCTCCAATGCCACCTATGAATGTATCACCATTATATAATAATATTTTTTAATTATATCTACCTACTATTCAATAATAATAAATAAAAGGTAATCTCTTACTTTCATTCCAATTTCCATTGGCGACAGGTGAGAAAATGGAACCTCTCTAGTAGCTAATTCCCATAAAAGTATGGCAAAACTCCACATATCGCAAGCTTCAAAGTTTGTGTCGGTACGTTTCTTTTGTAATGCTAATATCATAAATTAATATTGTTTCAAATAAAAGTAATAATATTTCAAAGAAATACAAAACTGAATTATGCTAATCAATTTTGCAATATTAGATACGCAAGATAAAGCAGTATTTATACATTTATTTATTAACTTAATATTTATGATTAAAAAATACAATTTTAAAATATTGTTTAATGTTTTTTCAGTGGTATCAATATTTTGGTACAATATTATTATGGTCACTAATTCAGCCTTTTTTGATACAGATATAAAATTGAAAATAGAAATATTACTATCAAATAATTTATTATAATGTATAATAAATAGAAAGTCTAAATTTAAAATAAGTAATAATATTTACTGATGAATTACAAGATATATTATATAACTTTAATTTTATCAATAAGCAATATTGATCATTATATATTTTTTTTGTTATTGCGGCTAAATGTTAGAGACATTTTTACGATATATATTTTTAAAAAAATATCATTAAAACCCACCAGTATTTAATATTAAATTAATGACAAGCTGTTATACCTTCTGGCGACATCCATCCTGGATAGTATATTCTTGCTTTTTCTTGGAATGAAAACTTTGCATCTGCCATATTAATTTTTGCTGTAAGATCTTCATCAATCTAATAAAAAATATTTCACTCTCATAGCAACTTATGTTTTAAATATCATACAATTAAGATATAAGAATTAACCATTATATGATAGCTGTTCAAAAAAAATTGAGGTATAATTCTCTCGAGGCTATGTAAAAATGCCATGGCTCTAGCCACATCTACTGCTAGCCTGAGAGCCAGTGCAGTGTCCACAGTAACTCTAGCGCCTTCATGTAATAATGTATAGAGCGATCCCCAAGGCATATATTGGCTAATAACCACTAAGTTCGGTGGAGAGTTACAACAGCCAATTACGGGCAGCACATTTGGATGAGAAAATATTCTAAAAACAATAATAAAATATAGATAAATGTACATTATATTTATTAGTATAATTATATTTATTATCCTTTTCACTTACCTTAACTTCGGAAACTCTTCATTAAAGTCTCTTGATATACGAGGAGTACATTGTCGCACAGCTAACACTTTAGCAACAATATCATTCTTTTGCCAATGGCCTCGCCATGTTTCCCCACTGGGTGAAGTGGCCATTTTTGTATGTAAATAGAGGTCACTCAAATTAATTCCTTTATGACGTGATAAAGTAGCATCTCCTAAGAAATAATGATTTTAAAATTAGTATATTATATAATTATTTAAAATCAAAATGTATTCATTACTAAAATAATTAAGATATACTTGGCAATGATTTATTATTAATTAATAAGGAGATATTCAGCGCTATATAAATTGCATTATACAAATTTCAGTCACTGAGGTTCACACATCAATAAATGCTATGTGGTATTAAAACTATGTAAATACTTACGACTTCTAGTCTTCAAGCCCAACCAACTCTGATCTTTAAAATTTATTTTAGTAAGATCTTGTCCAGATTGCAATGCCAAGTCTAAAACCATGACATATTATAAATAAAAACTATAACATTAATTTTAATACAATAAGATAAAAATAAACACTATCTCCATCACTGGACGCCCAGATTCATCATCATGAGATGGTAGGTTCCGGACGGCTTTATGCGATAGAGCCCCCTTACAATTTAAATACCTAACCAACCTTTCAAATGTTTAACAATTGGGCCTTTTGCCTTATCAAGCGGAGTATCTCCATCTTTATTTGCCGAAGCTGCTAATGCACCATTTTCGATAAGTTCTTCAGCAATTGCTTCATAACCCCAAAAGCAGGCATAATGCAAAGGAGTGTTTCCGTGTTCATTAGTAAAATTGATATCGGCACGATTTTTTAACAACTAAAATATGTTTTAATTTTAATGTTAAAATAGGCTTATCATTCAATACCTTTAGTGTAGAGCCACACTAGTGTTTTTTCGGTGACCGATAAAATCCGCACTGCAAAACAGCAACATGTGGCGGTTTGGTGTCAGCCGATTTCGGCAGATACGCGAATCGGTCTAGTCGGCAATAACGCGGTTTGTATCTTAATAATATATGTTGCGGTTGTTTATTGATCAGTGCGGATTTTATCGATCGCTGAAAAAACGCTAGTGTGGCTGTGCACTTAAAAATACATACCAGGTGTACAATTTCATGGTGTCCATGAGCTGCAGCCAAATGCAGAGGTGTGTCATCACCACGGTTCGTTGAATTTATTCGTACACCTCTTTGTATAAGCATTTCAACAATTTTTAAATGACCCTCTTTAGCTGCCCAATGAAGTGGACTAAACCCGTGGTCATCCCTTTAAAATATTTTTTTTTTAATTATGGTGCCTACTTAAAATGTTTCACAAATTAAATTATTATTTACCCTTGATTCATGTCGTGTTCTGTGTCATCGAGCCAGACCCGAACTTGCATTGTAATGCCTTCACGGCACCATTGAAATATGTCTTCCATCACGCTAATATAGTAATTACTTAAAACAGAAAAAAAGTTGGCCTAGTTTAAGAAGGATTCAAAGTATCCTACGCATCTGGCCATTAGCAGTTTTTTCTCCAAACACTCCAAATTTGGATATACTAAAATAAACAGAGTTATCACAGAAACTGCTAAACAGCTGTTTGAAAATAGATAGTAGTGTTATTTATTTCAGTAATAGTAGCATAATAATTATTCCATAAGTAATAAATTAAAACATAATAAAAACAACGTAATGGCGTAAACAAAAAAAAATCGTAATCTGTAACAGTTTATCTATAATAGTTTTTATAACAGCTATGTATTACCAACTATGTTAGTTCTTGTCTTGTTCTTGGTACAGCATATTTCAAAGTTCTGAGTACTATCATTCTAGACTATTGTTCCACGCATACAAACATAAACGTCGAATGTGCTACATCTTATCAATAAGACATCAAACATACCTATAGGCTGTAACCACAGATATATAAAACAACGTTGTTTTATATATCTGTGGCTGTGACCATAGATAATAAAAGATTGGATGGGTCATGCCTATATATAGCAAAATAAGGGGTCGCGCGCCGGAATAGGTAAGAGAGAAAGACAGTTATTTTTTAATAGAAGTACCTATGTCTCTTCTCACAAGGGGTGATAAATCGTGGAACTAGTTAATTTCTAGTTCAAAGTAATAGAATTAAACAAAGTTTTTAATAATAGTAAAAGTAATAAATAAGTTGAAAATGTATTTGCATACATTAAGGAAATAGATGTAGCGAATGTATAACAACTAGTTATAAAGTAATCTAAACATAAAATGATTAATAGGTATGTTAAGATTAATGTATATTTATTATTTAGATCGGATTAGGAATAAGTAGGAATTAAAAAAGTTAAAAGTGGAAGAAAAGAGGTTTTAATAGCCTATATATAAAATTACCTGAATAGTATAGGTACACTTAATAATTATTAAATGTAAATGCGTGATAAAGTGTGTAAACTCAAATGGATAATATTTATCTACTATTAAAAATGCTCCGTTATCAAGTTAGATGTACTAATAAAGTTTTTTCTAAATAGATGGACATTGCCATATGAACTCAAAATATAGTTGATGGCATTTACGTATAATTTATAAAATATTAATAAAAATATATTAGGTAAAAATCGTGTTTGTTATCATTATTTCTACTATAACTTTGGAGCTTCAAAAAGCTTTAATGACGAAAAAAAGGTCCAACAATATTCTCAACAAATCATTTACAATATTTTTCGTCAACAAAAAACTCGCTAACAAAAAATTGCGCTATTAACTGCAAACTTTAAAAAAGCTCTAGTGGTGAAAATAATGAGGTGTGACAAAATTTCGTTCTTCTCCAACTATGTCCGTCCAACAAACTAGTAACTACCGACAAATTTTTTGGATAAGTTTAATTAATGTCTGCTAAGGTTGTGCTGATAACTTTATGAAGGTTCTCACTTTTTTATAGTTTTAGATAAGAACTTTTGTTCTTATCTACCTATCTTTTGTTCTCAACCATTTATCTATAGCCGTGGGTAGGTATAGCTGTATGATGTTGTGACCCCTTGTTATTATTATATTATTCTCAGGCGATAAGCTTAATGGCTCATCCATTATTTTATCGTCAATACCTATAGGCTATAACATTGATTAAATACAATTAAATACAGTTTTTTTATTTAAAAAAATAAAATAAAAAATAAAACATATCTTGGTATAATTTGATTTTTTGCATATTTTGGGAGTAAAAAATGAAAATGTTCCTTACGAATAAAATAAAAAATGAAATTATTAATTTTTTTTTCAGATTTAAAAAAAAAATGTCATTACTAAAAAAAAATTTCCTGTTCTCGTTATTAGACTAAAATATTTGATTTAAGTCTCTGATTTTATGATCAAATTTTCAGAATTTAAATCTGGTCAAAATGGATTTTTCGTGAAAAAAAAATCAAAAACTTTATTTTTGGGTTAAATATTAGTGATAACAATTTTTAAAAAAAAATAAGTGTCTTCTTATAGACCAATAGAAATGTATAAAAAAAAAATTTCGAAAAATGTTGAGGAGGTCGGGCCGATAACCGCGTGGTTGGACTCAGAATGCCCCATATATATTAGATTAGAATAGAAATACTTATTTTAAATTTGAATAATATAAGTACCAATATATAATTTAGAATTAAAAGGTAAAGGTCTTTTTTTTTTTGCACACAGGCCTATCTTTGGGATGAACCGTGTAGTGAACCCAGGGTTTAAAACATATATTGCCTCGTGTAGTATGAGGGTAAAAAATATATACTTGAAATAATTAAACACTTAATAGATTTATTTATAACACTGAAACTACATATGATAGATTTGGTCTCATAATAAAATAGCTTAATTAACAAAGGTTAGAGCCGTTAGACACATACATATGATAACTTAATTAGACTCGAACAAACTGAACAACAGCATATTATACTATTATATAAATTAGGTAAAATAATACAATCTACGCAATTCCCTTGTTAAAAAAATAAGTATGTCAACAGAACAAGAAAAATTTAAGTACTAAATGTTAGTAAGATTTGGTAAACATGTTGCATAATTAATATTATTAATAACAAAATAACCCACACGCGCTATGATCATTACGAACGCCATTGGTAGTAGAAAAAGTACATGATAAATACTATCTACAATATACATTAATCATTATACATATTATCGTTTAGGGCTTTCCGATCATAAGTAATAGACATATAAAGAACAGTGTCATTGAAACTTTGTTATTTCTTTCAACCATAATCGTGATCCAATTCCCAAATTGCTCGCTGACTTACCTATGGTTTATACACTAATATATGTAAATATGAATATTAATAAATGAGTAATATAAGTTTATGATTAATGATTTTTCAAAAACCTTATTATGATAATAATAAAATACAATATCTAACGCCTATGGAATGAGTTTTTCCCCAATTCGTTTAAATCGATTATGTCCATTGTCCGTACCACTGAACAGCTCACATCTTTATTCAGTTAAATGGTCTGCACTGATAACTGTCATGTTTTGTAATCAGAATGATTACAAAAATGATAATGACGGCCTCATTAAATTTATACTTGGTGGAGTTTAATACTTTTGATCACAATTCAAAATGCAAGTTCAAACGGTTGAAGTTAAGGAGATAACAAACATCGAAAAGTATTATTCTCCAATTCATTAAGTATCTTACAATAGTACAAAGGTAAATGTATTGAATTTTTATTACTATATTACGATTTTAATTTTAGAATATTTATTTTAATATAGGTTCAATACATATTTTTGGTTTAGGGATATTGTCTAATTTTTAATTGTGGTGAAGTGTGAGACACGGGTCAGACCCTACTATATACTATAAGCTGGGTAAACATTCAGAAAAGTATTTTTTAATATTTTTATTTTGAAATTTATATTGAAAAAATTAATAGTACATGAATCAATCAGTTTCCAAAGTAGTATATAAGTTTCATGACTGAAAACTTAATATAACCTATGTAATTTTAAAATAAAAGTCATTTGGTTATTGTTGCAAAAGTGAGTGTATTTATTATTCTACGAAAAAGTAATTGACCTCATTTTAACAATACAGATAAAGGACAGAGTATTATTTATTTATCTTCATATATCTCGATTTTTTTGGATCAGGATTAGTCTAAAAGCCTCGTTTGGTCTCCTTGGGAATGAAGAAAAAGATTGTAGTTTCTCTCTCCAGACAATTGCCTGCCCAGAGAGAGACTGCTCATTATCGAGTTAAAATTAAAAAATTAATTTCTGGATAAATATTAAATTATGACATTTTTATTTTATGATAGCCTTATAATTATAGCCATAGGCTAATTTTTAAATATTTTTTAATAAAAAATAATGTTTTACACAGAACTATGTAATTTATAATTAAATTACATAATTCAAATTAAAGAATTTATCATTTTTCTGTTAAATATTTTTGGTTCTATAAACTAATTTTTTTTTTTTAACATAAAATGATACAAGAAATCCATAATCATAATTATTACTGAAATATATTTTAATGACTTGCATATCAGCAGTTTATATTTATATATATATATATATGTAGTGGGGATTGTCCACCATATGCATATTGCTACACCGGCACAACAATTCATTTGTGTAATTTGGGGTTCATAATAAACGTCTGCGAATCATATTTACTTATGTATATCTAACTGTGTTTTACTTTCATACTAAAGTAGAACAACAACTATATAATGATGGGTTTTTTGGGAGATAACAACCATAAGTTCTGTAGTTAAATAATTTACATTATTTGGTAATAGGTATATATAAAACTGTATATTTTATCATTTTATTTGATACGTTGTATACTATATTTATATCAGTTTATTTGCATCGCATAACTTATTTAATACATATTTTCAATAACTTTTATAGGTAGTACATTAAAGCAAATTTACTCCATTGCTAATATGAGCAAGACTAATTCTAATTGCAATGACATAACAGTTTCAAAGCCAACAATATCTGTTGCTTTGACAATGATATCTATACCTTTGTCAATGATGTTGTGGATTACCAACTTGTTGTTCAAAAAATTCTATGGTGATAATTTAAATGAAACTGATGGCAAGTATAGTAGTATATTAGTGTTTATTTACTAATTAATAATATACAAAATAATTTTGATTTGTTTAATAATGTACTTTATGCGCTCATAAAGAAAATATTTCTTAACACACATACGATGAATTTTGGAAAATTCTCCAATTTGATAAATGTGTTTTAACTTATCGAGATAATGAAAACTAATAGGGTTGAAATTACAGAAATTCTTCCACCTTTTCGATGGTTCATGTCTACTTTCATTCCATTAATGATGGCTGTTTTTGGTTATTTAAAAAAAAGTGTAAACCTGAGTGGGGCGTTATTGGGTAAGATTCAACTTTAATTTGATGAAACGTCTTTAACCTATTAAAATAATTGTGTTTCATGCATAGGTATTTTTGTTGGTTTTATATTGACTTTGAGCAGCTATACTTTCCTAGTATGTTTGCTGACATTTTTTGTCACATCATCGAGGGCAACTAAATTTCGTAGCAAAGTTAAAAAACAATTAGAACCAGATTTTAAAGAAGGTATTATTACAGCTAATCAATTATTTTTTATTATTTAATCGAATACTTTTTTAATTATCTTACTTGTAGGTGGCCAAAGAAATTGGGTCCAAGTATTGTGCAATGGAGGTATGGCCACACAGTTGGCACTTTTATACATTCTCGATGTTGGGTGTGGCGAGCTACCCATTGATTTTGACCTCAAGTACAGGCCTTCATGGCTGTCCATTGGTATACTAGGTAATTTTATAAGAATAAGAAGTTTATGTAATGATCAGACAATAATTTGATATTTGAATCCATTTTTTTTTTGTTATTTAGGTGCTTTTGCTAGTTGCAACGGAGACACATGGGCATCAGAACTAGCAACTGTATTAGACAAAGGTTTACCTATCTTGATCACTACTGGTAAACCAGTACCCAAAGGTATGGTTATTATTGATTTTCAAAAGTGCAACAATATTAATTTTTAACATAAATAAGTAAATTCAATTACAAAATCAAAATGTATTAATTAATTACCTTTGGTCTAATAGAGTTAATCTCAATTTTTGACCAAAATAAGTTTGACTTCTTACTAAAGTATACATTCTTATCTAAAAAAAAAATCATAATTTTATTTATTTAAAAATGTATGGGGTTTTTTTTTATCAATATTTTTTGTGAAAATTGTTTCTTCAATACTAGGTACTAATGGAGCTGTTACACCTATTGGACTCTTCCTCAGTCTATTAGGTGGCCTTGCAGTAGGAATTGCCAACTACTTGATGCTCATTTACATCGTTGATGCAGATTTATTAGCCCGAAGTCCTCCACAATGGCCTCTTATGGTAGTTGGTGCTTTTGCTGGGCTAATTGGAAGCATTGTTGATTCTATTCTTGGCGCTACACTACAATACAGTGGTAATTTTCATTGCAATTGTCACTTTGAACTAATTATTTTTTAAACCAAACTGCGTATAACTAAAAAAACAAGAAGTCAAAATAATGCAATAGCCTTTAATTTGCTCAGAATTCCTTGTTATTATGCAATATTTATCTCTATTAAAAAAAAACAAGTCAGGGTCGGCTTGTAGACTTTCTTGAATTTCATTTTTGGAGAATTATTTAAAACAGTTATAAAAAATATGTTTATATGGTTTAACTTTTTATTTATAATATACAACTCAAAAGCTCTGTATGAATAAACTATACCAAATAAAGATCTGAAACTTTCACTGCACTTCTTCATGCTAAGGTGATTCTAATAAGACCCTAAAAACAAAATTATAAAAAATGTATTTTTAATTTTTTAATTTATATTTTGTGCCTTCTCGACAAGCTCTTTCTAATGAGCTTAGAATCTATTTTCCATCTATTATAGATTATAGTTAAAGAGAAAGTTTAAAATTAAGCATCATAAGATCACAACACGCTAACTTTTTCAAATTTAAATCATTAAACCACATGGGTATGAAATCTGATTTACCTGTTTATTTTCTTATATTAAAGCTATGACAAATATCTATCTTCTTATTTTATAATGTGTAGAATTTAATTTTTTTTCCTATTCACAACAAGCTCTTAAAGTTACAGTCTCGGTTTTTATTCATTCCATTACCACACTTGCTTGATTTTTTTTTAAATCAAGAAAGTAAAACAAGAGTTTTATTAAATGTAGAAATATTAACATTAAAAAAAAAACATGGAATTTTTAATCTGTAGCTATTTTATAATAAACACATACTTGTAAATTACATTTTTTTTTTTAAATTCAAAATGAACTAAGCTTTTAGAATATCATTCTATGAAACATTTTAATCAACAATAGTTGTAGTTATAACAAACAATGTAAATTTTGGCGAGATAATGTTTTCAGTCTCTGAAAACATAATTATCAAATAATTGAAGAATAATACAATTTTATTTTCAGGAGTCAACAGTAAAACTGGAGTAATTGTCGAACAACCTGGTAAAGATGTCATACACATATCGGGAAGAAGGATATTAGATAATCACAGTGTCAACTTAATTTCAAGTGTGATCATGGGAATATTGACTCCGAAAATTGCATATTTAGTTTGGCCTTAAATTGAACCGTTTGGTCTCTAGTAACTTTTATTTAATGTGACTAAAGATTTAAACACTCCACTTAAACGGTTAAGTCAAGGAAACCCAGTTGGATTTTTTAAACCTTTTTTTTTTAATTTTCTTTTCTTTTTGGAGTAAAAGATAGACTGACATAGATGTTTTGTAGTAATTATTATACAGCTATTTATAATATATACATTTAAATATATATATATTTATATAAATATATATATATGTGTGTGTGTTTATTTTTTATTCGTATATATTTAAAATTATTTATATTTTTTTTTAAATTTAAAAGTTTATTTTACTTATATTTATATTATGATATAAATTTTACATTTTTTTAATTGTTCTACTAAACACGGTGAACAAATACATATCAAATTTTTATTAAAATGTTGAAGGAACTGCACAATAAAATCTACAAAAAAGAAAAACAAATTGTTGTATGTTAATATGTTAGAATAAGATAAGAAGCACGCTCAACAACACCATGTATTTTTTTTTTGCATGTGCATTAATTTTAAGTTTTTTGCACTTGTTTGATATATATATATATATATTATTGCTAAGAGCTAAGGAAAAGGTAACTTAAGGAAAATTAATATATTATACAGATTAACAAAATTAAAAAATTGTATTTCGGTCAGACTTCAGTAATACGGAATCTGTCAATGTTATAAACCAAACTAAATGTACATTTTTTTTTTTGTTTAATTTGTACTTTTAATAATTGGCAGCAATAACTTATATTACGTATATTATATAAAAAAAATTTTAAAACAAAAACTAAAAATATAGGAAACATTTTTATTATAATTAATACAAATAAATGAGTTATTTTAAACTGAGAAAATGCTCAGCGATTTTTCTGATAATGCAGCTATGGTTCGCCTCCCATTATTAACCACACCATCTAAATGGCACAAATCTAAAAATGTGTCACGGACGTGGAAATTGTGAATACTTCTACATGAATTCACACTGAATAATTTCACTTGATTTGCTTTTTCATCGTAAGCACACACTAATGTATCTTCATTGGATCCACCTGATGGTACTAAACACGATCGGGAAATTTGCGTAGCTTTATCACCACCTGAAAATAAAAAATTGTAATATTTTAAAATGCATGGAACTTTTATGTTTTACTTTCAAAAATTAACTCACCATAAAACGTGACAACTGGTTGTATTACGGTAGGTTCATTGTAATTTGCTATCCTTGAAACAATATGCCTCATGGCCGTATTAGCACCACACGGTTTAGCGGACGTCAAAATAAGATTTGAGCTTTCATCAAATGATGTACTACTCCAAAAGCCTTTTAATGGTAACAGCGTTTCTTTGTACGCAATAGCGTCTGTTTCTTGTTCAAATGCAGATAATATATCCATTCTAGTTCTGAGGAATCCACCGGAAATAAATGATCGACTGCAGGACGGTGGCAACGGAATAATTGAAACACAAGCGGGTGCTCTTTTAATGTCAGATTCTACCAATTTCATAAACCTACGATCGACATAAAATAAAGAACCCATCTGACTGCCAGCCACTAACATATTAGTATTATCACCGGCCCAACTGCACGACCACAAGGGTTCTGGTGCTAAAAAAAAAAAAACAAAAATTTAAATAAACTGATTTATAATAAATAAAATATAGGAAATAAATTTCTTTTTTCTGTATGCTATAAAATATTCACTTTCAACGGATGCTACAACTGCATTTGAATTAAAATCAGTCAATTTTATAAATTTGTCCAAACTAGCAGACGCTAACAAATTACTATCTACTGGATGAAATTTCATATCACGGATTGGTTTTTTATGCACATAAACAGTTCCTTTAGCCAGTTCAAGTATAGATGCGTTTATTTTTCTGATTCCATGAGTACCATTAAACAAGGGATTATCGCACTGTGCTGTGACTGCCTGTAACATAATAATTAATGAGGGATTATACAAATAAAAACTGAATACATTTTCTAAAAAATAATAAATTATAACTATTTTGTACTTACCAACAACATGTTTGTTTTGTTGAAGGCCATAACTCTGCAGCCACCAACCTCTTTACAAATAACAATTTTTTTCAGACATTGTCGAATAGAAGTTTGCTCGCTAATAAATGGTCCTTGGCCAGACTGTACTGCTTTTTCAACAGAATCTTTAAGCATTTTTAATTCATTATTCAAGCTTTCAGATCTTATTTTCCATTTTTCAACTTCCATTGTTAATACGTTTTTTTCTCGTGTTTCCTACAATAGTCAACACAAACAATTAAAACATATAATTGTTTTATTTTACAGACTGTGTAAGTTGAAATTTAACACAATGACACCATTATGTTGCAATCTAGTACTATATATTGCATTAAAAAATAATATTACATAGTTTTAAAGAAAAATTGTTCCAACTGGTTAACAAGTTCGAAAAAATACTTTCGGTGGTATGTGCGTACAAGTGAATGGATGAGAGGTAAAAATGCAGCGAAATAGTGAGTAAAAAAATAATATTTGACACTGTTCATGCAACACACTAGTATATCAGTAGTAACATATCAAAAGAATATCTTATATAAGTTTGGAAGTAATTAGAATATTTTTCAAAAAATTTTAAATGTTAAGCAGTTTTAAAGCATTTTACCTAGTTAACAAAGTAATAAAATTAAATATTATTTATGGAAATAGTGTTACTTTTTCAAGCTTAGCTTGTAGAGCAGTTAATTCAGCTGTATCCACTGCCACTAGTTTTTTTGTGTATAACACTCGTATGTCTTTTAGAGAAGCTTTCGTATTACACGTTGGACACCTCCTTGATTCACTATTACATCCAGTCTAATACAAAGAAATTGTAAACAGTTTTAAAACGACATAAAAAGTATACATATTAAAAAAAGATTTTTTAACCTTTATCCATCTTTGTAAACAGTTTTCTCCAAAAATATGGCCACATTTCAAACACGCTGGTTTATGTCCACCAGTATTAGTTAATCCTTCCAAACAAATTGGACAAGAAAAAGCATCGTCATCGGTAATACTTTCATCTAAAAATAATACAATTGAAAAACTACCCTATCTAATAATTTAAGTGTTTTAAGTATACAAAAACATTACCGTTGTTTGGAACTACAGTACTTATATCGTCAGTCGTTGATCTCTCTTGATTTGCTGAGGTGTTGTTGGATATTGTTGGTTCGGCATCATGTGGTTCATTCTGTTGAACTAACATAGGTGATGCAGAAGCATTTGATGATGTATGAGAATCCTAAAATAATCACAAAATTATATGCATAGAGAAATTATAATGTTACTTCATAACTATTTTAAAAGTTAGGAAAATTACCTTCATTAGTAATTAAACTATGCTTTTAATTACATTGCATATTTAAAACTAAATTACTCTAATCACTTTTAAAAAAAAATTTTAAGACAATATTGTTAAGATCGGAGTTCAATTTTTTTCTTCAAAAATATCACTAGAGCTAATTATTATAATATAATTGAGTATATATTGTTGATTTAGATTTGAACCACATAAAAAATATTGCTTACCGTTGAATTGGAATTGTCATCTACTACATCTACAGGTAATATTTGATCACTTGAATCTCTGGTTGTACTGTCATTGGTATCTGCTGAATATTCACTTTCTTGAATGAAAAATATTGTCCAATATTACAAAACAGATATATGTTTATGAAGTATAATAAAATAAAATAAATATAAATATATATAAAGCTACACACCTAAGCACACATAAAAAGTGTAAGAGCAATAACAAAAATATTTATTTCAAATAAGATACTTATTAAAATACAAATAATAAAGATTATATATTTTTTCTAATTTTTTTTTTTAACGTGTTATTATTTTATTTTTTCTAATTACTCAATTATCTTTCAAAACTTTAAACAGCCTTTAATAAGTTGACAATAATATTTAAAACATACATTACCTGCCGATAACTAGTTTTAAAATACGTCTATACTAAATATATATACTTAATTATGCAAACTTTAATATCACATACCATCTCCAGAGTTCTCATCTAGAAATAATTCGTCTTCATTAATTAATTCTGAATCAACTTCCATATCATCATAATCTGAATAGTCATCATCATTATCATCATCATTATAATCGTTATAATCAATAAAATCCATTTCAACTATCTAAAAATTAATTTTAAACATACATAAATACTATAAAATTAAAAATATCAATATGAAATAACAGTAAGATTTTTACAAAACAGCTTTTACAAGAAAATAACAATCAGGTACATTAACATTTTATTTTAAGTGAAAATTCACAAAATTGCAATAAAAAAACAATTATCGAATGATAATTGTTATATTATTATTTTAATTATACATAAGTAAATTAAAACATGTAAGAGCATTTTGTTAAATCGAGATGGAGCTTATCAACTCACCAAAACGAGTTTGAGTTTAAATTCCCGTTTAACATATTATTAGGTATACTTTATAAAACAAGTCAATCAAAAAAAGTTGTAAACATTTTTGTAATCGTTTAGCAATACATCTAAATAAATAAGCTTTTAGATCCGCAAATAAAAAACAACTTTTTTTTAATATCGTGAAAAACTAAAAGAGTCATTTTAGAAAATACACAATTTCGAATGAATAGCGCCTCGCAATACCTTTTTTATCAGTCTGGACGAGGAATATCACAAAACGACAACACGGGTTGTGAGGCATGCGAACTGATAAAAAATAAATCCAAGGTATAAACCATTAGGATAACTTCAAGTTTTCTTGGTATGAACCATTCTGTTGTAAATAATACCTTTGAGATAATAATATTATTATGCAGTTGTTTAGGTAAGAGGCAACCAGCGTTTTACCACTTTTTCAAGATATGGTAATTCTGTTCCGGCCGATATTAAGTCCATCAGCTACATTCTACGATCTACGCCTTATCTGCAGCAACAGCTACAGCTTTACTCAGTACTCGCTGCTGTAAATTTGGCCGCGGTTACTACCATTTCACCGTTTACCCGTTTAACAATTACCTTAAACGTCACCTGTTCACCAAACCGGTGAAAAGTTTGAATCCGGGAATTTTCGTATCGCGTGCGTTGATCGTCTGTCAACGTGTCGTTGTTTACCGCCGCAACTTCCTACACACATAATTACGATTACCCGTAGTTGTATATTTTTAAATATTTATTGTTGAAATAATTTTGTTGTTGTTGTGAGAACGTGTATTTTGGAGTTATTCGGGAACGATGGCCGACAAGGAAAAGGATGAGGTCGAAGCCACTATTGCTGACGAAGGAGTGGTTATGAAATACAAAGCGGCCGGAGAAATCGCCAACCGTAAGTGCTCGTGTTTCGTTAAAGAACCGCCTGCGATTTCTTTTCACCTCGTTCAACATAATCTTTACATGAGCCCACTTTAACCCGAACAACAGTTATTAGCAACAAATGTTTCTTATTGAGCGAAAAGCCTAACTCGACAAGTGTAAAAATTTCTTTACACATTTTTTAGGTTATCTAAGAGCATGTATGGTTTTCCGTTTTCTTTTGAATATCGTTATTATTTAACTTAACCTAGTATTCAATAAATTGTTTTAGAAATGACCACAAAACTAAATTAGGTATTTAGTTATTTTTCTTGTGATGGAACCTAGGTATTTTACATGCCCTGTAAAATCTATAAATGGGTCTTCTGATGTTTCCTATCCATTCAGATCTTGGCCATATCGTTATCATGGCATGTCTTGGCATGATGTCATCTTTTCCGTTTCAAGCATTAGTTACCTATAATACATCTATGTATCTAATTTTATTATTAAAGAAAAAGTTTTAAAATTAGTATTCCATGTTCCTCGTATTTGAATTGTATGTTTTTGGAGTATAGATTATACATATATCCATGACTAAATAACAGGCATGATTGCTAGATTACAAAATTTTCCTATCTGCGCATTGGCCTATTCATGGAATATTTTATAACTTGTAATCAGAAATTAACATGATAAAATACTTCTTTGCCCCAAGTCTGGGGCAATTTTCCTGCGCGGTATTATCTATCATTCATGCCTGTTTATTTATTTAGTCATGCATATATCTGTGTTCTTGAAATAAGAGAGACTTTGTCGACAATAATTGTACTACAGATAATCTAAGTGTACCTACACACCAGGCTAATGATCTCAGTAGTCAAAGCCTTACCTATAAGTAGAAAAATAATTATAATTTTATTGCCTTTTCAATAAATGCATAAAATAATAAAATAAAATGTATGTACTTGAGTAAATTGAGTTAAACATATTATGTATTAATAACACAAACACTATTTTTACTAAAATTATGACTTCCTAGAAACACAGTCATAATAATAGTAATTCATAATAAAAGAACACTTTTTAGAACTCCTTTTTTTATTTTTAGGAGTGCTTGTTGAAATCATTGAAAAATGTGTAGAAGGAGCATCTGTTCGTGATGTATGTATATGGGGTGACAATTTAATTTTAGAAGAGACTAGCAAAATATTCAAAAAAGAAAAAGAAATGAAAAAGGGTATGTATTTTTCTATTTCAATTATAAAAAAAAATGTTTTCCTAATAATTGTATTGTGTATTATTTTATCATTGTTTTAGGTATTGCTTTTCCCGTTTGCATCTCTGCTAACAGTTGTATTTGTCATTTTTCGCCCATTAAGAGTGAACCTGATCACATAATCGCAAAAGATGATGTTCTAAAAATGTAAATATATACCTTATATACCTAATTATTTTTAAACAACAATACTTGAATTAGAGAGAGAACACAGGAAGTCTGATCATCTCTATTACTATTCATTTTTAATTTAAATAATCATTAGCATGTCTCTAATTTTCCATCCCAAAATATTTACTACTAGTTATACCCACCTAGCTCTAGCTCCTACCCCCTGTGTCCCTCTTCCAATTCAAGTACAGTAACAATTATATAATTTTGACTTATTATCATTTTGTATCTTGCAGAGATTTAGGAGTACATTTAGATGGTTTTATTTCTATGCTTGCACATACCGTGGTTGTGGGAGCTAGTCCTGAGAATAAAATTACAGATAAAAGAGCTAACTGTTTCTTAGCTGCTCAATATGCATCTCAAGCTGCTTTAAGACTTATGAGGCCTGGAACTGATGTAAGTATTTAATTTAAATATTTCATCAATATTTTACATGGAAATACTAAAAATATAGTACAGCTTTAGCTTTGATGCAAAGTTGAATGGGTATTCTTGTTGTCAATGTTTTCTTATAATTATTGACCCATACTTTTATGTTATTTCTTTATAGACTTATCAGATAACTGAAATGGTAATGAAAGTTTGCAAAGAATTTGATTGTAAACCAGTGGAAGGTATGCTTAGCCACCAGTTACAACAATTTAAATTAGATGGTCCCAAAACAATAATACAAAATCCGAGTGAATCCCATCGCAAAGAACATGAAAAGGCAACTATTGAAGCTAACGAAGTATATGCTTTGGATGTATTAGTTAGTACTGGAACTGGAGCAGCTCGTGAAACAACTGCCAAGGTATCTGTATTTAAAAAGACAGATGAGGTTTATCCTCTGAAACTTAAAGCATCTAGGTAAAAATAATATTCTGTTCAACTACTTAATTAAATTGTTTATAGCTTGTAACTTAAGTTTGTATAATTTTGTATTAATAGGACATTCTATACTGAAGTTATACAAAACCACAGTATAATGCCATTTAACTTGAGAAATTTTGAAGACGAAAAAAAAGCTAAGATGGGTGTTATGGAATGTGTTAACCATAAATTAATAGAACCTTTCCAAGTGCTTTTTGAAAAAACTGGTACTACAAATATAATTATTACTACTGCTTAATAATTATATTTCATTTATTATACTATTATGACATTGATTTAAGGTGAAACTGTTGTCCAATATAAGTTTACTGTATTAGTAACAGCTACGGGACCAGCTAGAATAACTGGATTACCATTTGAGGAAGATATTTATGTACCCACATTAGCTATTAAAGACCCAGAAGTTTTGGTATTTATCTCGAATAAAATATTTGTATTTTATTTTATTACTATTATGTTTTATTATTGTTAAAAGGCAATTCTTAAAACATCAGTCAATCAAAGGGGAGTATTGCAACCTGTGAAAAAGAAGAAGAAGAAAACTCAAAAAAACTCCACTAGTGAAATGGATGTTGATCAGCCAATTAAGGAAGTTGAAAAAATGGAAGTGGATGCATCTGCTTAAAATTTTATATTTTGTTGATTCAATGTAATGTACACACATGTTTTAAACGTCCAACTACACACTAACAAAAAATCATTAACATACAACTTACCTTCAGGTTATATAAGAAAATTAACTAATTAGTAAACTTTCGACATATGATCATGGAATTTATAACTTCAATGAAGACAAATCATTTAGAATATAGAAAATATAATATATGACCAAGTTTTTATATATTATAGTAATTTCAATATTGATGTTTTGTTTATTGAATTAACTTGAAAACCCTTTTAACTTAGACCACATCTCTTTAATAATTACTGATTAATGTTTTGGTATTATTATTTTGATAAGCATTATTTTTTTATCAAACATTTCATTTTTTACATAATCATTCTTATTATTACTAATATAATTTCATTTTCTTATAATAACTTGCAAAAACTGTATTCATTTTTAATATTTTTCGATGATATCAAGTACAAATATATACATAAATATACATGCAATAGTTATTACTTTTAGAAATTAAAGTGTATTTAAGTCAAAGTTAACGGCATTTTATTAGTTTTACATTTTTGTGTTACAATTAAAGAAATACTTCATTAAAGATTTTTATTTTCAATCATATCAAAACAAACAAAAATTAGTATGTGTATTTACCAATATTATTTTAAACAATAATATGTATGTCGTTTAAAACATAGTATATGCATTGCTTATTATTATTATACTGTGTTAGTTAATTTCTCCAACATTTTCCTTGAGCCCTTATTAGTTAGTTAAAATATAAATCATATTATTTAATGTTAAATAATAGTAAGTATTAATAAATAATTTCAGTTTGTTTTTTGGTATATTATCACATTTTTATTTATTTTAATCTATAAAAAAACTTCTGTAACACTGGTTATATTAAGGTAAAGAAATAAAATAATGAAATGTTTAAATAAACCCTTAACCATAAAAATAATACTCAATAGCGTATACGTATTTCGGCAGCAATGTTACCATCATCAGCACATACAACAATGGTTAAGGTTTTATTTAAATAATTCATTATTGTATTTCTTTACCATTTTAATATTGTTGCACGGCTTTCACAATGACATTTTTTTCCATGAAATAATTTATGGTCAACTGCAATTTTTGCATAAAATGAGTGAAGTAATAAATTAAATATTATAAATAAGAGTATTTTTTATGCATAAATGATGTATGCAAAATAATGTTATGACGTCATATTATTTCATTAATGCTGTATTTACCTTAATCGTAAACCCATTGAATAATAAATGATCACTGAGCACATTTGTGTGTCTAACCATCATGATAGATTTATTATTTAAAATTTTAGAAAAACTATTAATGTTTAATTTATTTACTACTTCGAAAAATTGATGTACCACATTTGAGGTGTCATAAAATTATAGAAATGCATGTATATATACAATTTTTCTCGCGGTGTGTCAACATTTTAAAGCACATAATTGAATAGATCTAATGTCAGCTATAGTGACAGGTGTTACACCTGTACTGATAAAATATGTGTTAAGTTAAAATTTATTTAAGTTTGATCACTTTATCTAGGAATTATCTAATTATCGACAAATAAAACTAGTTTTAAATTTAGTGAATTATTTTTAATTAAAGTTGCAATGAACAAAGTTTGACAAGCAATTATTAGATAAATGTTGAAAAACTACATTTTTTTTATGAAATATTTATTTTATGGTTCTACTTTTGACACGACTTGTAATTATTTCAAAGAACAGAATACTGTTATTTAAATACTAAACAACAAACATTGCATCATATAACATTTTTTTACAAATTTGTTATATTGCTAAACACATATTATACATGGCGTTTTCAAAAAATCAACAATATACGTGATCCAACTATAGTCTTATTCATTTGACTTGGTTTTATTCACTTGAACTTCAACTAATTGGTAAGCTTTATCAGCAACACGAGCACATTTATTTGGAACATCGATCACAAATTCTCCAGCATTATATACACTTTTATTCCAACAAGCTGTGGAGGTTGATTTAAGATTCTCAATTGATGGTAAGGACTGTACCTAGAAAAATCAATAAAAACATAAAAATATGTAAATTAGAAATCTAAAAAAAATGAACTTACTTGTTCTGGTAACTGTGACTGAGCCTTTTTTGTATATGGAGTCAAAATGTCAATAATGAATTTAACTAACTCACGAGAGGTTTCAGGATCTTTCCATAATCCTAATTCGGATGATCCAAATAATGTTGCACCAAATAAAGCACCTCTAATTGTAAAACTGAAACAATATTCATCATAAAATTATAATCAATATTTCAAAAAGTATATTATGTAAAAAATATTAACAAAGTTTTAAGGTCACCACAACCTTTTAAAATATATATTTTTACATATAAATTTGAAGTACAACAATTACAATTATTGGCAAACACTTACCTTAGGAATTTATTAAATTTACTCATTGTGAAACTAAATTCTAAAAACTTTATTTAGAATAAAATTAAATAATAATTGCACTATAATATTATTTAATATTATTAGTAAATAGGTATTGACTTCACGTTTACGAAACATGATAGAATAAAACTTGTAATTTGATGATAACGGATAACCATAGCCCGTATTGATAGGTCAATGATAATAATAGATAAGACTTATCAGTAATCAATCTAGATATTACAGCTTATCATTATGTAGCCTTTCGCAGCTAAAGACTTGATAATAACATTTCTATGACCGCGGCACTAGGTATTCCGGTTAAATTTTCATAATACTATTTATGAGTTAATTTATCAATAATTATTAATTATAGTTAATAGTTATTACTATAATTGATATTCATTAATTTTTAACTTCCTCATTATTCGTTATATGTTATTAGAGAAATGTAAACGTGCAGTTAAGGTTAAATAAAAAATTTGAAATTTAAAACTACGAAATGACTTACGTTTGTAACTAGTGTCAATCAAGTTTTGTAAAAATGAATACACTAACTAAATAATGTCTATGAAATAACTCATATTATGCAAAAAACGAATTCAATCAAGGAAAGGTTTTTCCATTCATGTGAAACAGGAGATTTGGAAGTAGTTAAAACAGCGCTATTTCATAGTGTACAACCATTCAGCCAAGATAAAGTGATTAAAATATATTATTCATCAATCAATATTTTAATTCTATCCAAGTCAGATAATCTGAAGTTGTATCCAAATTTTTAGTTTGGGAACACTGGTATACATTTGGCGTGCATGAAAAACCAATATGAAGTGTTAAATTACTTGTTGAAAACTGTAAAGACTTACAAAAAAGATGTTGAAAATAAGCTTGGTCGTACAGCTTTAAACATTGCTGCTTCTCAAGGCGCGTATGAATGCATTGACATTTTAGTCACAAATTTATACTGTGATTTCAATTCCACTGACAAAGTATATAGTATTATATTCAAGTTGATTAAAATTTATAACTATGCTATTTTTATTTTATTACAGCATTTCAAAAATACACCATTACACTGGTGTGTTATTAGCAAGTGTATCAGTGGTGTTAAGAGGCTATTGGATATTGGCGCTGATTATACACTTACCAACAAATTGGGAAAAACTCCTTTACAATTAGCTGAAAATACTTGTTTGGATATGTTTTACTATATAAAAGAAGTAATTTTATTTTAGTTTAATTGATACTTATTATCTTACTTTATTTTAGTTATCATACAATAAGTAAATTGTTAATTTAAATATTCGTAGTAATTTATTGTTCTCACATAATATTATTCTTTAAAAAATGGTGTATTGAGTATTTTAATGTATAATCAGTATTTGCTATAATTTCTTTAGTTTATTGAAAAGAAAAACAAACATAACAATAAATCAGAAATAGTTACACGTTCTACGCAAAAAAATATTGATCCTTTGTTATCAGCCAAATCATGTACTCCACAGTTTAATACAAACGGTAATTGAAAAAAGAAAAAAATATTTTTTAAAATTTTATTACAAGATTAATATAAGTTTTGCTTGTTATTTTTAAATGCAGCAAATCAATCTTCAAAATCAGAAACCAACTTTATAAAAAAAACTATCAATGATAATACAATGTATAATGACACAATACCTGAGCTGAACAATTCCAATAATCCGTGTTTCCTCAACATTTCAAACATAAAAAGTAATTAGCTTATATTATGCTAAAAAAGTTTGTTTTGTAATATTAATAATTTAAATAATTTATCATTTTTTCTGTGTTAAGATGGAGATAATTCAGTTTTAAAACAATTGGAAAAAGCTATTGAGCCCATAGACGAAACTTCTTTTGTGTCTTCTATTTTAAACAGTGGAAAAGTCATTCAACTAACAGGTATTAAGTTAAACAAAATAATTTTTTTTCTTTGAATTTATTTTTATTAATTTTATTTTTAAATTGTTATTATATTTTATACGATAATTTCAGAAGCTGGTATTCTTGCCCTAGAGTATACAAAGAACGAAGTTAATATACCTATTCCCAAACGCCTTGTAAAATCTTTTTTAAAATCATCTTCTAAAAACAATAGTCATGAAAACAATTTAGAAAACAAAAACTTTGAAAATGATGATGATTCAGTTACAAATATTAAAGGTCAAAAACGTTTAAAAAATGAAGAATCTACCAATAAAAGAATTAAACGCAATGAACCAATTAATAAGCGATTAAAAACCTTATTAGACGTACTAAATCAAGATTTAATTCGTGTTTCTAGTAATAAAAAAAATCAAAAGTCAGCTTCGACTGTAAATACTAAATCAGATAGTAGATACAATGAAGCCGATAGTAGTAACCAATTAATGTGTTTTGATCCCGATATGAGTTCACGTCGTAAATGGGTAGAAGAACTAACATTGTTATTGCAGAAAAATGAATGTAAGAATATTCCTGCAAATGAACTGCTTTAAATTTTGTATTACTATTGAGAGCATATCACATGTTGTGGATACTTCTTATGTTTTTTGTCAATGCCGGTCTCTACTAAGGTTATATGATCAGTTTCTGTGAATGTTTAGAAATAAGTAATAACTAATAATTCTGTTTCTAATTAGACATATTGTGTGTATTCAGCTGAGATTTTATAAAATAAAATAATTATTTATAAGTATTTAATTAATTATAGACAATATAAATATTCAGTCCCAGGTCATGTAAACTTAGACCATACATTTTTTTAACCTATGAATATTTAAGATTTATAAATTAGTTATTTTACTATTTATAAAAAAAAAGCCTAATAAGTATTATATTAGTACTAAGTTTTAAATAACTACCTATGTATTAAAAGAAAAACATTACTATTATTTTGATCTCAGGTACTTGTGATTTATTAATTTTTTAATTGTATGTTACTCTAGTGTTATTTATTTTTTATCAATTACTAGAAGACAATAAATATGTTTAACTGCCTATTATTAATACGTTTTCTATTCTCGAATTTTATTTTGCTTTTTAGTATATAGGTCTTGTAGTAAATGATTGAGAACTATATTACCTAAATAATAATATAGTAAAACCTGATAAGATCAGATAAAATGAACTATGTAAAATATATGTTTTATTAAAACCCTAATTTCAGTTCGAATGGTAGTCGAATTCTTGTACCTTTACGGTTGTGTGGTCAACGACACCGGACTGGACAATACGAATAATCTCACTCCCGAGTATGTGAATTTTTTTCAAAAAAACAACGGTGTTCCTATACGAATCGTGTTTCCTATTATTGAATAATATTTTATACAATATTAGCATGTCGACCGTGACACATGCATTCGATCTGTAACACTTGTATTATGTTGTAGGTATGTTCCGCGATGCGACGGAATACAACCGCGTGTGCCCATTATAGTGTTATGTTATGCGTCTAGAAGACGGCGAGTGAAGACGTACCTATATTACTAGGCACGTCGAAGAATATATTATTATATATTTTATAGAAACATCTTCGCTGCGGCCACAATGGATTTCCCTTCTACGGAGAGACTATATTTTACACCTGTCGGATACCTAGAAAACTGAGGGAGGGGTACCTATATTGTCTTCCGTTAGTTTTCTTTTTCGTTTTTTTTTATTCATCCCACTCGGGCCGTCGCTACAAAATAATAACAAGATCAGCAACGCGGGGGAACCGCCAATCGCCGAGGATGCAGCGACCCCACAATGGGTACGCCTGCAATATGGTAAAATAACATGGCATTCTATGCCGAATGCTGGTTTCGCCGAAAACACCGTAGTCCGTAAACTATCTCAGAACGTCCGTCGTATCGGACGCGTTTCCGTGGTGCGTTCTTGTGATAAAGTGCATTTTCGAAAGATTCAAAATCCAAACAACTCAAGGCGTGATTCAAGTGAATTTGATTCTTGCGCGCCTACTTAATTGTGAAATTTGAATATTCGTATAATTGCGTTGGCGTCGTCCGTTTCCGCGCGAACCCGACGCGTTGCTAGGTTCCAACCGGACGGTAGTAGCTGCTGCAGCAGTGCCCCTCGTTTGATAACGCGCTACGGCGACAGCCGCCTGGTGGCGACCACAACATGAATCAGTTGTTGTGCATTGGTGACCCGAGTCAGAACGTCATGGCCGAAAGCAAGGGATCCCTGATCGCCAAGTCCGTATCCAAACATGCAGGAAGGGCCAAAGAAAAAGTAAGTGCCACATTTATTTTGAATATTTCAAGTAGAGAGGACGCTATTATTTTAACGCACCGAATCGTTTATTGTTCGCCTGTAAATGGCTTATCAACAAAATATTATACATCTTTATCCTAAAAAAAATCCATATACGATCTAGTATACTGTCAAATCAATTTCAATTGCGTCGAACAAATTAACGTTACACCACATTGTTATGATCAATCACGAGTAATAATAATATACTCGCGTCTGCACGAATATCGTAGTAATATAGTTATAGTATAACTGTCTGGAGGCTTTAATGCGTTTTGGGTGTCCGCCAAAAAAGCAAAGTCTATAATTCTTAATAGAGTGTCGAAAGAACTGTTTGAAAGATGACGGATAATTAAATTATTGAAACTGTCGATAAGTGTTGTTAATCGCATTGCCATCGGTTTGATTTATTTTATTCTGCTATTTTTTTTTGGACGGTTGAAAACATAGTTTTTTTATTTGCGTTTACAATATTATATTTTACACGCACCAGTTCTCAGATTAACCTCTTATCATGTATTTCTAATAATACTGGAAATGCATTGTTTTTTTTCTGAAATTACAAGTAACTACGTCCTTAACGTTTATCTGAAGCTGTGTTACTGTTATCCAGTTTTCTTCCTATCTATGGCACGTTTGTTCGTAGCTCAAAAATAGGTGCTCTGCCCGGGTTAAAAGGTTGTTTGGACCAGTCTTCTCGAATTTATACAGCCCAAAATAATAAGGATTTTCTCGAACCATAAAGAATGGCGTTTTTTCGCTAGTATTTTTTTCAATCCATCTTGGACGCACAACGGTAATTGGAATCCGAGTAGTCACGTTGTCGTCGACACCAGACAGCAATTTCCGTGCATTTAAAAGCCAATTTGGCATTTTATCGCGAAGGCAACAACCTACGACGGCCGGCCGGCATGGCAAACGGACGGCGGCGGAAGATGGGGACGAATTCTTCAGGTCGAATGACCATTTCGCTCTTTGGGCTGTCCAAAAAACTGGCATCGTCCCAGAATTTATTTCTGAACCGTCTGCCGCTGGTGTCTTGCACGGACAACTGCTATAATGTCACCTATAGGATCGTCCGGACGCAGACGCTTATAATAATACATAATATTCCACTACGGACTACCTATTTTTATGATAATATTATGTATTTTTTTTTATGATGTACAAATGGCCTGTTTGTGGGTCTCGTTGGACAAGCAATTCGCTGTATAATAATAATTAATAACCTACTTAAAAAGCACACGACCAGTCCATCATTTTTAAGACACTCCGATACCAATAATTAAGACACACGTTTAGTAATTACATATAAATTTATAATTATTATTATTATAATAACGACGCATAGCTGTTGTAAGCCCGACGGGTGTAATGTCTCTTGGTGATAACAAAAATAAACGTTACGGCCGTTTCCAGTGCGACGGGGCCGTGTAAACAATAATAATAACGGTTTAGCTGAAAAATATATTCATTACGTTATACCTGGGTACATAACATTATTGTCGTATAACTCTACTTCCTAATGTTCAATATACCAATTAATATCGAAAACTTGAAATTTCTAAGAGAAAACAATAATTATAGTATATTATAGAACAATAGACGGTAATGCGATATCAGTTCCCAAGGCGTCTCTTAAGTATAAGTACCTATATAGTGCTGGAGGATAATATTGTATCGCTCTCCTACTTGTAAGTCTACGACACTTAATCGTCGTGTACATGTCGAGCGTCGGCCAAAAAATATCTTCAAGAATCTATTTGGTTCTAAAAATACTGCATAAATACATGATAATATAGATAAATACTATCGTGCGTGTATTGATTAAAAAATACCGTTATTCCACTGGAAATACACTGGTTGTCGATTAATAACGGATGATAGCGACCCGCAACGTTTTCAATTACAATAATTACACATGTGTTTAAAAACAATTACACCAGCAACGGGTTGAGACTTGAGCCTCTCTTCTTGAACATACCACACAATATGTAATATACATAAATAATAGGAATGAATGGCTTACGGGCGCGGTGTGTCATTTTTTAAAAAAAAGTTTCCCGTTTCTTTGTCAAGTAATCGTTTTTGAACGACTTCTGAGTTTTTATTATATTTGCAAAAACTAAGATTTTCAAACGCCGAGCCATTGTTGCTAGAGCTTTGCGGTTAATCGTAACAAAGTTCAAACTCAAGTATCGGAAACTATACCGTCTATTTAATTGTTGCCCACGCCTGATGTATGATCATAAATTATAATAAGATATTGATAATATGTCTAATATGACAGCACCGTGCATAGTTCTTGTAAATATTCCTAAATTTATTCAATTAGTAGTAATACATTGTTGAGCGTTGTCCCGAGCTAAAGAGAGAGGAACACTCGAGGCGGTCATTCTCGGCCTGCATACTTCTTAGGTTCAAGCAATGTATTTTATCGAACGGAATCGTGACAGTCATGACTTACGAAAGTGAAAAGCCAAAGAGAAGAGCTCAACGCATTAGCAAATCGAGACTGTATGGAATGTTAAGATTTTCAAAGGATTACCAAATTGCATATTTTTAGCTGGGCATGGTGAACTCCAAGTGATAAATGTTAATTGTTGGAATCTGAGAACATCAGTTGTGCTATTTACAATAATTAATTAAAAAAAAAAAAAAATATATATATATATATATTAATGAATAATGTGATTGTAATGGGGTTAATCAATCAGTTCTGATTCAAGTGCATAATATCGTCATCATAATTTGAAGAGCATTTTTCTTACAAAGTGCATCGATGACTCGAGTCTCTCCGATATATTGCTATTTTCTTGGTATATGATTTTTTTTCTCGAACTAGAACAACAGAATTAACAGACAACAATGTATCAACTCGGTAATTATCTTTATTGGTCGTTAATACATTTTTTTTTCACGAGAAATAATAATCAAGTTTCAAACTGAGTATGTCCTATTTGTGGCTTTTGAAATTAATAGCTGTATTAAAAGTAAGTAGAAAGAAAAGTTGCTCGCTATTTCTGTGCACTTAGTTTGTGTGTACATAAGACTTTTTGCAACTGATGGACACAAATAATGCGTAAACCTATTATTTGTGAAAACCTTCTAAATAAATATTGATTTTTTTAATTACATTAGGTTGTCTTTCGAGGCTTTGATTCTTGCCAAATATACCAATTCGTTTTATACTATTGAGTTAATTTCTACTAAACAAAACATCATTAAAACAAAACCATTTGTGTATGGCGTATATATGTAAAAAAGGGAAAACGTTTGATAAGAAGAGACCTAGAAATTATACTAACTACAGCATGATGTTAACGTTGTTTGGTGGACAGTGTAGTCTATAGAAGGTTATTGATTCAATATGTATGCATTATGCTCTCTTAATTCTTTTTAAACATTGATCATCATTAAGTTAATTATTAATTTTATAAAGAATTATTAAGTTTTCTTATTTAATTTATTTGTATAGTAGTATTACTTTTTAAAATATACGAACCAAACGACTACAACTGGTAATTTTTCTAAAACGAGTTATTAATCGCAATGTATTTGTCAATAAAACCTATTTCTGTATGTATTTATTTAATAGTTTACATTTTTTTTTATAAAATTATGAAAGTAATATTACATAATATGAATAAACATACACTCGATAAGAACACAATATTGAGAGTATATTTTTCGTTTTGCTTTTCTGTATATTTTTATAAAATACATTTTATACCTTTTTGACACCACTATCGTCTACTTCACTTTATGTTGACTGTATATTTTGTTGTGGCAATGTTGTGCTGTACGTTTTGCAGTCTGTAATTTTTAATCGCAATTTTTTTTCTATTTTTCAAATTGTTAAATTATTTTTTCTCTTCCGTTTCCGTTATTTCCACTACGTTTGGTCATTATTATTTCTCGGCGGACTTTACAGTTTTTCATGAAATTGTGACTGCGTTGGTATGTTTTGAACGGTATTTTTTTGGCTCCAGACGCACGTAGCGATAAGTGACCACCGATACGAGACTCCCCTAATTCGAAACAACAATGAACGCTGTATTTACCGTCTTGCAGTCGATTGATTTGTATCGGTCATACCATACTTATTCAATATCGCCGGTATTGTAGGAACGCGAGCTACTGCCACTAATGCGCCAGGAGTATACCTAGTTTGCTTGTGTTGGTTGTTATCGTGGTTCAGAAACCTCTAAATTAGCTTACCATCTATACTTGTATGGAGTATACACGGATATCTGTGTCGACGGAAGAGAAACGCCGGACAGGTTTGTTATCTGGTTGCTGCTCGCGCTCGAAAAAGGCATTCACCGTTCGAGAGGAGGATTGCCGCCGCCGCCGCAAGTGGGTTATGCGCTCACGACGAAGACGAAACAGCTATATTATAGTGTATACTTGAGTGTATGTGTGGCGGTGCTTACTATAGCCGCCCAGATGGAAGTGCAGGGGAATGATGGTGTTAGAGGGGAAAAAGTGAAATTCCGCTTGGAGGTCGCGCAGATTAGATACTTTACTGGATGTGAGCCTACGGGTCGTTTACAAACTTACCGACCGACGGTACTTAACACATCTAGTACAGTTATCAGCTCTCCCCCGGTCATATCATGAGAACACTACAGGAAAAGTGCGACGGTGACAATAATAATTATTGATGATACATCATCATCGGTGCGTCATAAATAGTCTGATAAGGTGTGTCGGAGTCGCGTGACTTCGACAAAATTAAATTGTTAAATTCAAATTATATGTATACGACATAGCTACATAATAATATGCAAAGATATTATCTTAATCACAATATTTGGATGTAACTAGTCAAATTCTAACGGCAGTCATAAAGCGTTCGAGCCCACTAAGATTGATAACTGTGGCGTACGTTCAAGTGTTTACACGGTGACCTCTCAGAAAACGACTATACAAGTTGTACAACAGTCGTGGCGGCTACATTTTTCTGAAGGTGACTG